CCCCCTATAACACTGTTGATAATTCCGTGTTATATGAATTCCATATTGTACGAGTCACTTAGATTTTACAAATACGTGAGCCGTTCACAGCTCGACACACGTATTTGTAAAATCTAAGTAACTCGTACAACATGGAATTCATATAACACGGAATTATCAACAGTGTTATAGGGGGATCTACTGTATTCCCGAAATATTTTTATACCGGCAAATTGCCTCCCTCTAAACGTATTTTAATTTTCAAAGAAATACACCTTAATTCCTCGCTTAAAATAATCATTTCAGTAAATTTTTTTTTTTCCAATTTTACAGCTTTAACGGTGACAATAAATATATTGTATTACTTTATTTTTAATATAAAAGTAAAGTGAAATCAAAATAAGACATTTGAAAACAGTATTTATGATTTGAAAAACGTATCTTAAAAATTATGACGTGTATAATATACACCAATTAAAGAGAAGAGGGAAAAAAATGTGATCAAAAGTATGTTGTTTATCGCTTCTGAGGTCAACGAACAGCTGTTTTACTTCTCGAGAAGTAACTGTTGAGAGTAAATTCACGATGAATCGAGATTCGTGGAGAGGAAGCAAAGTAAGATTTTTATTTTTCGTTTATAAAATATTAAAAATGTAATTACGTTCTATAAATTTTAGGATTGGGAAAATGAAAGTTTACCCTTATCTACTGGAAGTGATCACGCCTGCAAACTTTATGATGCAGCAATTACACAGGTATTTATTTATTGTTATAATAATATATATATATATACTGCATATATTTTTGATATAGGATATACAGAATTAGGTACATTTCTTATTCCTGGAATTGAATTGAATTATCTACAGTTTACTTTAATAGATAAGATGGAGTGATTTAATTGGAAATGGCCTTGTACTTGTTACGCCCGATGAAAAGTCTGTGTATAATAATATGGACTTTCACGTATGTTGTAACACACACATATATATATAAAGTTCTATGTATCTACGTGTCGATTGGATTATTTTCATTTAAATCTATTATCGCAATTAATCATTAGATTGCTGTATAATTTTTCTATAATGGTTTACCGTAATTTGGAATGCAATCCCAGACATTTACTTTAATTGTGGATAAAAAAAAATTAAGGATATCGGGGATCCTTATGAAGATCCTTTAGAAAAGAATAAAATCTAGTGTTACGAAGACAATTTAATTCTGTTTAATAATACAAAATTTCCTATAAATGTGCGGGATGAAAAGGTCAAAGTAAAATGTTAAAATACAGATTACAGAAATAAGCATATTTAATCTATATATTAAAGTAAAATAAAAAGTTTGGGACTATTATGTAAATGATGAAAATGATTGTTCTTGTTTTAGATCTATTGCATTGTATTTTTTACTATTTAATACATTTCTTAAAAATTTTATTTGATATTATATGGTCATTAAAGTCACCAAAAGAATATTTAAAGTTTACTTTGAAATAAGTGTTTTTACACTGGCATTTGTAGCCAACAGTTTTCTGCTGAAAGAATATTGTTTATGATGGACAATATTCTTTCTAATGGAGCTGATGTCTCTAGTAAACACATCATTATCAACTAGCATTGTTTCTTGTGCCACTATTACTACTACTGCAATGGACAACATTGCCAGACTGAAAAAATTATGCTAAATTTTTGTAAGCTTGGGCTAAACTGCTTAAAAATTTAAAAATTATTTTTAAAAACATTTAAAGTAATAAAAAAAAGGAATTTAAAGTAATATATATATATAAATATATAAGTTTCTTTGATTAATTACTTATATTGAATCCTTGTGACAAATATTAAGTAATAAAATTAATGTTGCAAGTATAAGTAAATTTATTTTCTTTGTTTCTTCACTACATAAAAAATCCTGGACTATTTTCATTTCCAGGCAAAATCCTGGATGTTGCCTTGATTCCAGGACTATCCAGGCCAAACCTAGATGTGGTAACCCTATATATATAATGTAACCATCAATGAATAAAAATGTACAGTAAAAATAAATAAGTTCCTTTCTTAATATACCAAGAAACTGAATATCAAAATATCTAGCATTTCTTATTTTAATTAAATGCTAGCTGTTGTTAAAAGATGCTATTGCAAGAATAATTTATAACCTTACAAATTAAATTTAATATGAAAAGCTTGATACATATCATTATTATTATTATTATTATTATTAAAATAAAAAATTTGAAAAACATTTTAGATTTCAGTATCATTATCACTACTATGCATATGTAGCTAGAACTATTTCTAAGACTAACAGCACAAAACCTTTCTCACTAATTTCTAGCCTTATTAACTGGAGCACAAACGTTTTCGGCCTTCTTAATAGGCCTTCCTCGGGTACACTGTGGAGCGTCAGTTAGAAGAAGTTTAAATGCTGCCAATGTTTACCCAGGTGTCGTCTTACCTGTGACGTCTTCGTCGATGATAGGTATACGATACCGAGGGAGAAAAACTACATACTTTTGGTAAAGAAGGGAGGTGTGCAGATAGGATACTTGTAGTTGTACCAAAAGTATGTAGTTTTTCTCCCTCGGTATCGTATACCTATCATCGACGAAGACGTCACAGGTAAGACGACACCTGGGTAAACATTGGCAGCATTTAAACTTCTTCTAACCGACGCTCCACAGTGTACCCGAGGAAGGCCTATTAAGAAGGCCGAAAACGTTTGTGCTCCAGTTAATAAGGCTAGAAATTAGTGAGAAAGGTTTTGTGCTGTTAGTCTTAGTATCATTATCAATTCCATTTCATTTCTTCCCAACTAGAAAACAATATATATGTAATACATATAGTCCTAAAATGCTAAAATGACTAGAAAATGATTTCTAGTCATTTTAGCAGTTCAAATCTATATTCATTTCTTTTATGCTTAATGTTTCTGTAATGTTTTTCCTATAACTTCATCTGAACATTCCTCTTCTTTTTTCTATTTAATCTTAATATTCAAAATTTGTTTTGTAAATCTTGTCACCTGACCCAGATTTATGGGCACATGACCAAGGGCTCCACAAAAAGAAAATAATAATAATAAAATTAAAAATGAGAGAAACGAAAAGAAAAGAAAAGAAAAACTGATTCATAAATCAAAATACAGAAGACTTTATTTATAAATACCATATAAATTTAAAGTAGGGAACACTATAGTAGAATTTCTTTACAGATTTTTATATTATATAATATTCATAACATTAAATATCATATTAAGATATATTTTATAATAATTTTTTAATTTATAGCATTTGGTCCTTTTCTAGAGGGGCCTCCACAACTGCAAGTGGTCTAGAGCCCACATAAATAAATCCATTCCTTCGTGTTATTCATTCTGTTTGGATACATAGATTATTTTAGATCTGTCTTTATTGATATTCTTAGTGTTACAACTTAAGAAATGAATACAAATCCATTAGTTTGTTAAGTAAAATTTTATTATATCTTCCATGTAGAATTCTTTGGATTCTGATAATGAGTATACAGAACATGAAAGTGTTTGAACTGTTTTATTTTTCTTTTTTCTGCTCTATTAATTAAAGTATTTATTTTGATGATGGATTTTGATGATGAATAAAAGATATTTAATAATCTTTATCACTTTATTTTTGTTGTTGTTTATAGAATTTGAAAATTTTCTTCATATTTGTCTTTATTAGTTATTCCTTTTTTTGTCTAATTTTTGCTGTTTCAGCTATTTCAAAAATATTTTTGTATAAAAAACTAAATGAAATGATGCAAAGTAGAATAATTTTCATTTTCTGTGCATGAAATTTGAGTAATACAGTATATGAAAAGATTGTGTGTAGGATTTTACCGCTTATGTAAAAAGGAAACAGATGCTAAAGTTATTATTTAAAATTTTTTAAGAATATTTTATTTTTATCACATTGTGTTTACCATTAAAATAAGTCTTTTCAAACTATCATTTAAACAAATATTTTAAAATAGACTGTAAGAAAGCTTAGTCTGTTAAAAAAAACAAATTTTTGTCTCTATAAAACGGTCATTGAATTTTTTGTTCTTAAAGTAATTAGTATTTTTATAATACATAAAAACAGCAAGTTGCATCAATTTTAATATTTTTAATGCTGCAAAAATGTTTTTTTACATTACTTGTAAAAGTAATTAATAATTGTTTTCAAATTTACAATTTTTTTTATCATTGTATTTAAAATACAGAGATAAAAAAACCATAAATTTTCACAAAAAAATAATGTGTGAATAATAAACCTGAGATCAATTGAATTGATCTCAGGTTTATTATCAGGAGAATTGTGCTGCTCCTGAGATCAATTGAAAATCTTGCAGTCAATATAAGGTTATTCAATTAGTGATTCACTTGGATATGTCTTTCATTTATTACAGCATGTTATATAATGAGCAATATATAATGAGGGGGGGAAAAAAACTAGTATTGTGCTGGACATTACAAAAAACATGATAATATCTCTAAAGGAAATTTTCTTTATTTTTAATATAATTTTACTAGCAAATATTTATACTCAATATTATTATTAGAGCATAACTTTCAAATAAGTTTAATGGAGAAATTATAATAAAAGAACTATTGATAAAAATCAATGTGATTATGCAAAATTTACAATTAAATTATTTCAATTTAATGCTTTATTTATTTTAATTAAGAGTCATTTATTTTACTAAGCATAAACAGAATTTCTCATAAATCATTTAGTCAAAAAAATTGAATAATAAAGTTTTTCTTCTTATTATTCATTTTTTGTTTAAATTTATTGAAAAATTGATATGGTATTCTTATTACTATCTTATAAAATTTTATTTTATAGCATACCAATTTAGTTGCTTAAGCTATAAGTTTTTAATCTTAATTTTAAATAGTGTAGCTTATTCTTATTACAGTAGAGCCTCGAAAACTCGGCCTAATGTGGACCAAAGGGTGGCCGTGTTTGTGAAAATGCCAGGTTATCGGAAATGGGGTTAAAAAAGGATAAGTATGCGTGTTTCCTCAGAAAACATTGTACTATACTTGTATGTATTGTTTGCTTGAGAATACAACAGAGAATAAACTGCCCAAATACCCTTAAACAAAGGAAAAGTACGTCCTTTATGAAGGCATAGAGCCTTTACTACAAGAAAATGAAAATTAATGAATACACCATGTACAGTAATTTACCTGATAAGACAGACCTTAGAAAAATACTTTATGAGGCATAAAGCTGTCTATAATGAAAATTAATTAACTAAGGCTTTTTTTGCCCTGCCAGGGTGTGGCCGAGTTATCCGGAGTGCCGGGTTATCGAGTGCCGAGTTTTCGAGGCTCTACTGTATTATTTAATTATATATAAAATTAGAGTTTATTTTAAAACTTTTACACAAAATTATTAGTATACTGGCTGGTATGAGGATAGCCTTTTTGGTGGATTACAGAAGACAATTGAAAGTATAAAAGCCACAGACCCAAATTTTGGTGCGTCAAATAAACTATAATTAGTTAAATTTATTTTATATTTTGTTCAATCATTGATAGAGAAAGAATTATTTACTTTCTACAAATATTTACTTTTATTCTCATGTAGTTATGGGTCATGTATTGTCTGTCGGCTTGGATTTGATTGGAACTGGTCGTTCAAAAAGATTAGACAAATTATTCCAGAAAGAAATAGATGATTTATGCTCCCTCTCTCAATCACAAAAGTTTCTTACAAATAGAGAAAAGAAACATGTGGAAGCTGTTAAATTATGGTCTGAAGGGTAAGTTATATCTTTCATATATGTATTGTTATATTTCATTTTTTATATTAAAATTTACTGATTTAGACTATTAGATGAAGCTACTGTTGTTTGGGAAGATATATTATTACATCACCCAGAAGATATTTTAGCTTTAAAATTAGCTCATGATACATATTTTTATCAAGGAAAATCTACACAGATAAGAGATTCAGTTGCTAGAGTTATGCCTTATTGGAAGATTCATAATCCTCTTTACAGGTAGCATAATTAAGTAATTTAGAAGATATATGTAACAAATTTGGATTTCTTATGCTTTATAATTATTTTAGTTATTTATATGGAATGTATGCATTTGGTTTAGAAGAAACCAATCTATATCGAAAAGCAGAAACAATGGCAATAACGGTTAAGTGTGAAGAAATTATATTAAAAAATTGTTTCAATGTTTTCATCATATAATAATAATGATATTACTGTTAGGGTTTAGAAATGAATTCCAAAGATGCATGGGCAACTCATGCTTTGGCCCACGTTTATGAAATGGAAGGAAGAGTTGCAGATGGTATCAATTTATTTAGTTCTACTGAATCAGATTGGGTGGTAAGAAACTATATTAATAAGTGAAATATTTCTGATTTTTAGAAAATAAGATACAGCTGTCCTTTAATAATCCGACAGGCGACAGGTATGGGACCAAAGGGATGTTGGATTACCAAAAGTGTCCGGATTACCGAAAATAATTACATATTTTGCATTGTTTTGCAAGCAGTAACTTACAATATTCCCTACTCCAACTGTCCAACTACTCATAGAAAACACACAAAATGTGTGTCATCGTGTAAGAATTGGATGGGGAGATTCACGTCACGACATGCTTCTGTGCAGGCAGACATGTAACGGGGACGGGTACCTTGACGGGAGGTGTGTCGGACTACCGAGCATGACGGATTAAAAAACGTCGGACTATCAAGGGAGAGCTGCATTCAGTTTTTGTTAATAAAATAGTAAACTAAATATATATGCATTTTATAGGAAAAAAAATGTATATTTGTAAATTTGAAAACTTAAATTTTTTATGTAAATATTTTGAATATTAATAAAATATATCAGAATTATATATAATTTATCATTTGATTTATTGGGTATTTAATAATGTTGTTAACAATGTATAAATGATGAATATATTTTAATTATTAAGATACAGATTTGTATATAGTAAGTAGATTATAATTGAAAATATAGATAAATTTTTATAATTCCTTTATCATGTGGTGTTATTAATTTAAAGTTAGAATTTGTAGGGCAGTATTTTACATGCTTTTTCATTGTCATTAATATTAGTGTAGTGACTCAGATATATTGAGATATATCTTGTCTAGATGTGGGGTAATGAATTGAGGACTTTACAACATAAAGGAACCACATTGAAAGAGCAGATTTGAATTTTGACATAAACATAACCAATCCATTTAGAAATTTAACAGTGTTCTGATCAATTATACAGTTATTATGACTTATCTACCAATTACACGAGTGACTCTGAGTCAATACTAATACTATGTGAATATTCTTAATGTACCAGTATATACAATTATTTACAAGTCGACACCCAAGATCATTGCATTTTCTGATTATAGTTGCTTAACTACATCCATCCCCTTTGTTAGTCAACACATGGTCATTAAGGGGTCCAACGACAAGGGAAGACTTTCTGAATCCATGAAATAACTGCCTTGCTAAATGAACCCAATAATTTGAAGATCCTTATGATAGTTCCTTGGTGGTAGGGATAGTTCCTTGGTCTTACTCGATGGGTTTGGATTTCTGCTTGCGCACAACAGAAGGTTAGATGATCAGTCTTCTAAACTTCCCATCCTATCATCACTGTGACCTTCTCTCCTCCTTCAGTCCAGGTGGGAGCTTGAAAGTCCAAATCCGGTCTGAAGAATCCGATAGCCCAGAAAAAAAAAGGTGTCTATCGCGTGGAACACACACTTTTTATATCTCCTCCATCCGGGAACCATGTCCACCCATGTGATCCTTTTCTTAACCAATCCACAGTTAGGATGCTTTGACCCAAAAAGGCGATATGGAAAGCACGACAGACTGTTATGCGTAACAATAAAACCTGATACAATTTTTCTTCATGAAAAGGAATGTGGTTACATGATACTACAAACATATATAGTATAGTAGCGGATACTATAGTAGCAGAGCGCTACATTAGCAAACTGTTTTGCTGTATTAATATTATCAAAAATTCTACTGTTATAGTTTATACATTTAATATTATTATAATTTTTGAAGTGTTCTAAACATGTAAATTGTATTATATTGATTTTAGCATTTTTATATTATTTTTATGAAATTATTGTTTAATTGTATTTTATCTTTAAAATTATTTATTTAGTCTTGTGGAATGTTGGCCACTCACAATTTTTGGCATTGGTGTCTTTGTTATATTGAAAAGGTAAGAGTTTATTATTCAATATTATTTTTTAGATGAAAGTATTAATCCCGTATTTTTTAAAGGGTGAATATGAGGCAGCTTTTGATATTTTTGATAGAGAAATGAGCAAAAGAATGCAATCAGGAGCCATGCTAGATATTGTTGATGTCACATCACTTTTATATAGATTGGAACTTGAAGGTAATTTATTAAGATATTTAATTGTTCTAAGTCATTAACCACAATATAAATACAATCATAACACAGAATATATGCTTGATTAGATCTAATTTATGTCTACTCATGAATTGTTTTTGTTATGTTATATGTTTGTGATTCTTTATCTAAAGTTTTTAATAAATTTTTAGATAAAAAACATTAAAACAGTTAATATTAAAAAATGGGGTGTTGTTGGACAATATTAATATACAGGATATTTTTCAGTGATTTTGTGGATTTGTTTTTACATCTAGAGAAGTTCATGCTCATAAAATAGTAATTTTTTATGTTGTTTAATTTTATTGTTGTTTAAATTGAAATGTTTGAATGTTTTCTTACAGCAATTATTTCATTAAGTTTAACTGTATTTCTAAATTACAGCTGTCCCTTGATAGTCCGACGTTTTGTAATCCGACATGCTCAGTAGTCCGACGCACCTCCCGTCAAGATACCCATACCCGTTACGTGTCTGCTTGCACAGAAGCATGTCATGACGTGAATCTCCCCACCCAATTCTTACCTGATGACACACATTTTGTGTGTTTTCTGTGAGCAGTTCTGTTCTGTGGAATCTGCGAATATCTGAGGGATGATATCCACAGGGGTGAATGAAAAATGATTGCCACAAAAAGGAGGAGACCAGTACGATATATTATTTAACAAACTTTATGCACCAAATATATATATATTTATAATTGAATCACAATACGATAGTCGGCTTAAGCCTGGCACATGGCAGCTTACACAAAGCACAAAGGGTCTACACAAGACAATCGAAGGACACACCTTCACTGTTGCACGCCAGGAACCAGAATGAATGGTTTCCGGTTCCCCACTATATATAACTCCTCCACCACTCTCACCGTGCTGCCACACAAAAACCGCCCAAAACACAAATAAAACCGCGCGTACAGCAATCGCGACGATCGTTTACATTA